AAAAAATAAAAATACATTTGTGGGGATGCACGGATCATATTCTAAAATGTAAGAGATACAATTAATGAATTACAAGACAATGTAAAATATTCAATATAAATTATAAAATTACGGTGTTCAGAAATATTATATTTAACAATTATTTAATATGAATAAATTTTTAAAATATATATTATGACTAACACAAAAGTAATAATTGTTTATTAAAAATAGAAACAAAACATGTGTGGATGCACCGATCAAGTTCTCGTAATCTATTCAAGTTGGATACGCAATAGTAAATGATATATTCTAATTTGAATTTCTTAAATTTGTGTGAAAATACTCCAAAATCTTAATCTTCTCGATCAATTTTTCATTTATGATATTTCTTATTCTAGAAATTGATCATACAAACACTCATGTATCTTTTAAATTATCATTTGTATAAATTCATCATCAATGAAAGTGTTCAAACACCATATGTTCACTAACCCACAAGGGTGTTCAATCCAGTAAATCCAAATCAATTAAAAACAAACAGAACTGAAATAGAGAAAGTAGTTTGGATTTGGTACTATTGATTATACCGGATGAATATTCCTTTTAAGAAACTACTGTATATGGATACAAATTAGTATATAAACCGATCAAACTGAATGAAATTTAAAACCCAGTCAGTTAAATATAGTACTATATTTATATGTAAATTATATTATATGTCAAGGTCAATTTGAAAAGCCGTAACAATTTTTCTTTGAAATTAGAATTCCTCCCATGATTAATAATATATACATGATATGATCTTCATTTTCAAAATATTTTAGTAATTTAATATGTTAAGTTAAAAGCTACTTTCCATTTTTTTCAAACTAAATAAACATAGTTTTTACTTTTTCTTTAAAACATATAGGTGCTAATATTATGGTATTATTGTTCTTATTTTATTTTATGAAAATTATTATTATTACTAAATTAATATGTTTGATAATTATTTTAAATAGTAAAATAAAAAAAAATTATTCTATAGACTGAATATCTTTTTTATTAAAACGGATATCTAATCATATAAATTAAAATTAAAATTAAAAAAAAATTAAATAAATTATTGACTAAGAAAAAATAAATATTAGAGCATCATCAATAGTCTTGACTAGGTACCTCTTCTATTTAATATTAATATAATTTTATTATGTAGATAAACTTAAACAAACAAAAAAAGTCCTTTCAAAACTGACATTATATTTTGAGTCTGTCATAATTGTTGAGTAGATTAGTGAAAAAAAAATTGTTGAGTAGAATCTATTAAACAAGAAATTCTTCTTATTTTTTACATTCTCCTGTTTTTATTTTATTTTATTATTTTGATTATAACAGGTTGGATGAAAACTTTCAATATTCATGTTATTATCTTCTCAAGTAGCGAGTCACAATCAAATTCTATACCAACATGAATTTTATCTCATACCAAAACTTAGTTACATGTTTAAAAATATGAAGAAAGCAGAGTTTAAAACTCAAAATTTTATATTTACCAAATTAAGAAAAAATAATTTATTTTATATATTTCTCTCTATATTTTATTCTAATATAGAGTAACCAATGTTTTGAAATCCGACCCGTATCCTCGGTTGAACCGGTAAACCCGGTGATCCAAAAAAAATCTGGGTTGGATTTTGTAAAAATACCCAAAATTTAAAAACCCGTAAAAACCTACGAAAACTCACTAAAACCCAAAATATGATTTCTGGTTGAACCACTGGTTGAACCAATAGACAATTGCTACTTATGTTTTTTTAGTTTTTAATTATATTTTAGATTTTGTTTTATATTCTAATTTTCAATTAAGAAATTAGGCTTTCACTTTTCAGTTTTATATTTGTGCTTTTTAGATTTTGATAGAAATTTCACTATGACACATGAAAAAATGAAGTGAACGATGGTAGAGAAAATTAAAGTTAGCTGATGTGATTTGGTGTTATTTTATTTTTGTTATTAAGAATTTACTTTAATGATGTTTTGTTTTTGGTTTATTTTTAATTTGGAGTTTAATTTATTATTCACGTTAGATATTTAAATATTTATAAACTTTATGACTTGATTTTTTTTTACATGTCATAACTCTTAACTTGTTTCAATAAAATTTAAATAGTTTAAACTATTTTTTATATTTTGTATGTTAAATGAAAAGAAAAATATAAGACTAAAGTTAAGTACTTTCTAAATGTTTTTTAAAGATAAAATATATACATATCCAAACAATTATTTTATGTTGTTTAAAACAAATAGAAAATTTTAAACTTTATTTTCTTTATTTTTATGTTCATAACTAATATATTGTTATATAATAAAATTAATTAATTTATTAACCGCGGTTCATCCACGGTCGACCAAGTGACCTAATAACCCGATAAGTCATATGTTTCAGTGTCTGAGTCGGGTTTAAAAACATTGAGAGTAACTCTATTATTAACTTGGATTTGCTTTTATAGTTCACTATATATAGAGTTACTCTATTATTGTGTGAAATATAGTAAAATATTTATTTATTCTATATTTGAAATTAAAAAGTAACATCTCTCTATATCTATATTATTAAAAGAGAAGTACAAAATAGAAATAACTCTTAATTTTACCAGTTATTTATGTTAGAATGCCATTGAGATATTTATTGAACCTATATTTAAGTATACTTGTATTTTCCTAATTTAAATAATAGATTTTCTTAGTTAAATCTTAACTAAGATAAAATTTCTAATATATCTGATATTAACTTTTAAGTATTTTATTATTTATTAGTAATAACTAATATGCTATTTTTCTTTAAGAAATTTATTTAATAGAAGTTATAGTTCTAAATATGTTTATATATTTTATGTATTTATATTTTTTTTTTGTTTTTAAGAGATGCTAAGATTCTGGAATTGAAAAAAAATTATGACCCACCTCTATATTATTTTAATTAAGAAATTTAAAATTTATCTCTTAATATTTTATTATAATTTTAATTTTAATTAGTATAACTGTAAATATTAATTTTCAATTTAAATTTATGTTTTAATATTATAAATATATCATTATATATAAAAAACATAAAATAGATACCCGCCCAATCGGACGGCTCAAGGTCTAGTTTCACATTATAATAAAGTAACTCTACTATAGAATGAATCATTATAACAAATTCAACTCTATAATAGAATCACTATATTATAAAGTAAAATATAGAAGATAAAATAATGTGTCATTAGAGATACCCTAACCAACCGTCCTTAAAAACTTTAACAACAAAAAAATTATAATTTAATATATAAAATATTTATAATTTTATCAAAATCAAGGAGTTCAAAAGTTACAAACTACCAAAAAAACATTAAAAATCTTGCATATTTTGAAACCTATTTAACAAACATTACAACTACTTATAAATCATAAATATTTTTAAAACTGTAGCCGTAGCTTTTTTCTAACATCGTAGCCATAAATATTTGCAATAATAATAGTCATAAATCTTAAAATTAAAATTATGCTGCTAAGAAATCATAAATTATTAGAAATTAAAAACTTCACAAATTTTACACAACTAATTTTTGATCAATAATTAACTAAGTTATATTAATCATTTTAACATATAATATATCTACGAAATTATAGATAACTAACAAACAATATGTGATATATTAACTTTAACAAAATTAAGTAAAATAATTAATTAATATACTATAATACCAAACTAGCAGTCCAACAGTAGTCATATATGCACCTCAGGTAGATAAATTCTTATGATTTTAAAATAGGATCAAAATATATTTACCCCCACAACAATCATTCACGTAAACACATCATCTTTTCACAAACATCATTATAAGTTCATCTCAGCATCTTTTAGTTCCCTATACGACATTAGCAATTTATTTCATTTGCAGATATTACTAATTTTTTATAAATATATATAAAACATAAATTAAGTTTTTAAGTTCTCTGCCGATCAAATTCTAATAGTATACAAAAAACAGAAGAGAATAAATGTACTAGTTATTATTGACAAAGAAAATAATAAATATTAGAGCTTCATCAATGGTGGAGTATCTTGACTAGGTTGAATTTATTTTGTACATGAATTTAAACATAAAAAATAAAAACATTTCAAAACTGACATTAATATATTTGAGTCTATTAAGCAAGAAACTCTTCTTTCCTTTTATACATTTTCCTGCGTTTTTCATTTTTTTATTATTTTAATATTAACACATTGGATGAGAAACTCTCAGTATTCATGAAATCTTCAAGTATGAGTCACAATCAAATTCTATATCAACTTGGATTTTATCTCGTACAAAACTTAGTTACATGTTTAAAAATATGAAGAAAACTGAGTTTAAAACTCAGAATCTATATTTACCAAATTAAACCAGTTTTAATTGCTTTATATATATACTTAATATATGAAACTAAAATCTTGGCTTAATAATATAAATTACCTGTAGATATTACTATAATTTTTAATAAATGTTTTTATTAAAACTTTATATAAAATAATACGGAAAAAAAAGCTTTACATAAATAATAAAAACCGTGTTGAAAATCAACAGTAAAATGGCCCACCCACCAACTACACAGCCCTCGACCAATAGTTTATAGACAAGTCAAAAAGAAAATCGCATGTAATGGAAGTAAATCATAGTGGATTTAATAATTAAAAAAAAGAAACCGGTTTCGTCCAGTTTCTTTATAAAACCCAACGTACCATTAGAAAATCCAAATCAAAAGAAAATAAAGGAAAGCAAACGTTACATTTTCAAAAGAAGTCTTTTTATTTATTTCTAAGTAGAAGAATTAGAGTCTCCACACAAATGGTGCTCCAACAGCAACAAGAAACGCTTTTTGTCACAGAGAAGACAGATCAAGAACTCTCTCTTAAGACAGATCAAGAACCTTCTCATGAGTTCATCTTCCGATCCAAACTTCCCGATATCTCCATTCCTAACCATCTTCCTCTCATCGATTACGTCTTCCAGAAGTTCTCCGGCGACCGAGACTCCACAGCCACATGTCTCATCGACGGTGCCACCGGACGTAAATTTACCTACGGTGATGTACAAATCGGTTTAAGGCGTATCGCCGCGGGGATCCACCGTCTAGGTATCCGCCAACGTGACACCGTCATGCTCCTTCTCCCTAACTCCCCGGAGTTTGCTCTCTGTTTCCTCGCCGTCGCTTACCTCGGAGCCGTATCCACCACAGCGAACCCGTTCTATACAGAGTCAGAGATTGAGAAACAAGCAAAAGCCTCCGCCACGAAGATGATCATCACGAAGTCATGTTACGTTGATAAACTTAAAAACTTGCAAAACGACGGTGTTTTAATCGTCTGCGTGGACAATGGAAACGACGCCGTTCCGTTGCCTGAAGGTTGCGTGAGTTTCAAGGAACTGACTCAAGCGGACGAAACAGAGCTTCCTAAACCGGAGATCTCACCGGAGGACACTGTAGCGATGCCGTACTCCTCCGGCACCACGGGGCTTCCCAAAGGAGTGATGATCACTCACAAGGGTTTAGTCACGAGCATCGCTCAGAAAGTAGACGGAGAAAACCCTAACGTCAGCTTCACCGGAGATGACGTCATCCTCTGCTTTCTCCCCATGTTCCACATCTACGCGCTCGACGCGTTGATGCTCTCGGCGATGAGGACGGGCGCGGCGATCTTGATCGTGCCGAGGTTTGAGTTGAATCTAGTGATGGAGCTGATTCAGAGATATAAGGTCACCGTGGTTCCGGTGGCTCCTCCGGTGGTGTTAGCGTTCGTCAAGTCTCAGGAGACGGAGAGGTATGATCTGAGCTCCGTGAGGATGATGCTTTCAGGTGCAGCTACGCTCAAGAAGGAGCTTGAAGACGCCGTGCGTCTCAAGTTTCCCAATGCCATATTTGGTCAGGTCAGTTTTAGTTAGGGTCCTTTCACTTTCACAACTATTTTTTGCTTATTTCTTCGCAAATTTCAGTTCAATTAGACAGAGTGTGAGAAATATTACTAATGAGAGTTTGAGATTAGTTAATAACTCCTGGATTAGTATTTTGATTTGGTATAGCTATTTTGATTAGGTTATGTGGTACTAAAGATTAACGTACATTTGTAATCTTTAGTACATAATGCTTGTGGTAGGTGAAGATTTGTCGCTTTGTGCAATTGCCTAACGTTATTAATCAAATGAAATATTTCAATGTATGAATAGACACACAAACAAGTTCGGGGTTCAAATATTTAAGAAATGGACTAATAATGGTGGTTTACCAAACCTAAGCTTTAAAACAGTGTCTAGATCATCAGCGTCACCAAATTTCTAATATTTAGTGGTAAATTGCGATGTTTTAGAGATACCAATAGTATTTGATCATATGTAGTCTTTTGATTAGCTAGCTATCATTGTCATTATCTTTGATAATACAAGCTATCATTGAGTAACATATTATAAAAGAATTAGCATGCATGTTCTCAAGTCTTTGACCAACAGGTAGATACACTACCAAGTTCGTGGTCTAAATATTTAAGAAATAATCGATTAGTTTGTGGTAGTTGCACCAAAACTAAGCTTTAAAACTATTTATGTCAGCGTAGATGGGCATCACCAAATTTCGAATATAAACGGGTAATGTGTAATGGCGATGTTAAAGCACCAATATATTTGTTTTTATGTAGAAATTGACTACCTATCGTTCTCATTACCTTTGACTATAGTCAACAAGTTAGATGAAAGTAAAGTACCTCGTGGTGGGCATGCGAATTATAAAGGAGAACCAAACAAAAACATGTTTTGAAAGCAATTCCAAATTATTTGATCAATGTATTTTATTCTACAAAAAACCCAAATGGTACACTGAGACGACCAGTTTGACGAACGATTTATTTTTAGTCAAACTTTGCCATTTCGGGTAGACATTGCGACTCAGAAACCAATTTAGTTGGTTTAGTTAGAACCTTTTTTTGTGTGCACCGGATTAGTTAGAACTTAGACGGTGAGTCATTGTAGTCTAATAAATTGTTCAAACATTAATTTAAGTACTTCTTCTATAGGCTAGTTTCTGCTTGATTCCAAATTATCTGGCTATATTGTAAATCAAAAGCACTTTAAATGTACCTTAGTTAGACTAGATATATCTAACATGAGTAGCTAGCTACCAGCCATGAAAACGACTATAGAACTCATTTCGACTTGAGAAAACGTTGAATGCTTTTATTGTGAGATTGGTCTTAAGCATGTCATCTTCGTTTATAAAAAAAAACAGCTAAACTGAAGAGAATTTTTTTTTCCTAAGACAATATATATGGTTTCGTCCAGTTGGTCGAATACCACTAACATAGTTCCTGCTATATGATAATAGAACAATATAACCAACATTAAAGTATTTATATTCAGTGATATTCTGTATCATATTAAAAGGTACACTCAAAAATAAAATAAAATAAGTATTTTATAAAACACGTAAGGGTACAATGATTAGCTTCTAAATGGAGTTTAGGATCGCATACAGAGACCAAGATAATGTCTGGCGAAAAAAATAGTTTATCCCACTGGCCCCTTCATACTGCATTTTCTCTTTTTGGTTTTCACTTTATTTTATTGCTTTTGATAATGCATAAGCTTACATGATTTGTGAGTAATGAATTATTTGCACCGTTTAGTCCATTACTGGGGACACATTCATTACTCATCTCCTAATAAGAATCACCAATTCAGATCGAATTTATAGTTGTTTTAAGTACATTTGACTTATTGATTTAATAAAAACACCAGTATTGACTTATTGATAGGTTGAGAACATACAGAAAACGCTAACAGTTCCTATCAAATTTAATTCAACTAGGACGACAAACACATGTTGATGACACTGTCTTACATTAATTTGTTCGCTTACTTATATTACTCAGACAGAACTTATTTGATGACTTTGCTGCGGTTTCTTAGTTCATGTCTTTGTCAGTAAGGATGTTATTATGGCCAACAATTGTCAACTGTTGTCGTTATCACATTTTTGTAATGACTAAAACTGAAAAAAAAAAAAACACGTTTTCAGGGTTATGGAATGACTGAGTCAGGAACGGTAGCTAAGTCATTAGCGTTTGCAAAGAACCCGTTCAAGACCAAGTCTGGTGCGTGTGGGACAGTGATTAGAAACGCTGAGATGAAAGTGGTCGATACCATAACTGGAGTCTCCTTACCACGCAACAAACCTGGCGAATTATGCATCCGAGGCGATCAGCTCATGAAAGGTAAACAATTAAATTCTTTGTTCATATTTTAATACTTTTGATGGTGAAAAAATGGTGCAATGTTGTTAGGCTATTTAAATGATCCGGAGGCTACTGCCATAACCATAGACAAAAACGGGTGGTTGCACACAGGAGACATTGGGTTTGTGGATGATGACGATGAGGTTTTCATTGTGGATCGGTTGAAGGAACTGATCAAATTCAAGGGCTATCAAGTGGCTCCAGCTGAGCTTGAAGCATTGCTTATTTCTCATCCTTACATCGAGGATGCTGCTGTTGTCGCGTGAGTTTAAAATTGAAAACTTCCAATTCGAAACATTACTATTTTGTAGCTTCTAATGAAGTTTGGATTTTCAGAATGAAGGATGAAATAGCTGATGAGGTTCCGGTAGCATATGTGGTTAGATCAGAAGGGTCTCAGTTAACCGAAGATGATGTTAAGAGTTATGTCAACAAACAGGTAACATTTTAAGATTTCACTTCCTGTCTCCAAATACAAATTAACACCCACAAAGATAGAAACTTTTACATGTATTAAATGATTGGAGTGATAATCTACATGTAGGTGGTTCATTACAAGAGAATCAAGATGGTGTTTTTCATAGAAGCTATACCAAAAGCAGTTTCGGGAAAGATTTTGAGGAAGGAACTCCGAGCTAAACTGGAAGTTGAGTACACTAAATAGACACAAGAGAGTTGTGGATGAATTTGTAAGCTCCAACACGAAGTCACTTAGAAGCAATTATTTGGCATCCAAATTGGTTTAAGGGGCATTTCTACATTTGATGAAGTATTAAAGTTACTCTCACGTGACCGTGTTTTAGTAAGGTTGTGCTTTCGATATCTATATCAAGATCCTCAGCTCTTTGTATTTTTAGAACATGTATAAAACGCTAGTCTCAATATCTTGTTTGTATTTGGAACCTAGAGCTAAGCTACCCTCAGCAACATAAACATTTCCTTTTATCATTTCATGATCCTCCTAAGAGGAATTACAACTATTTCATTAGAGAATTAAAAAGCAGAAACTCACCCACTAAAGCGACAATGAGCAGGAAGTGGCACAGAGGAGAAGTTTAAGATGGTTAGAGGTCGATATGAAGTAAAACCTCAACAGGTTCCTCTCTCTTATTGCTGGCAACAGATGTTCCATCTTTGGTATCCCGTAGGAGGATCGTGTAACGAAATTTCGAATATTAAAGGATACTAGTACGATTAGTTCCTGAATCTGAACTATATAAGCAGTCATGTACAATTTGAAGAAATCATTAAGTTGAGAGCATACGAAGGGAAAGGAGACAAAATAACACCAAAAGTGGAAGGGAAAATTCCTTAAGAATACATGAACTAATTTACATTTGCTAATAAAATACATGAACTATTTTAGGTCCCAGTTTAATACACAAACTAATTTCCAATACCTATTAAATACATAAACTTTTGAAACTCGAGGATTTTACACATCGTTTTTAACGGCGTTAACTATATTTAACGGATTTGTAGACACTGTTAGTGTTTAATTAAACACATGTCACATGTTTAAATTATGAAAATAAAATTCCTTAAATATACACGAACTAATTTTTATTTGATAATAAAATACATGAACTATTTTAGATTCCCGTTTAATACACAGACTAATTTATGTTTTCAATTAAATACACCAACTTTTGAAATTTGCAGTTTACACATCGATTTAGGACTCTGTTGATGATGTTAGTTTTAACTAAACATGTGGTAAAAATGTAAAAACACGCTCACCCTCCAAAACTTCTCAAGTTAGTTTCAGTTCGAATTTAACACCGTAATCTGTTCCAATCAGTTTTATTCTCTAAATTATGTTCATTTTCTTATTTTTCGCTTTGATTTCCCTTTATATTGATTCGAATTGGAGTCAATTTGTATGTCGTGAAAAACGACAAAGAAAATTAGGTAATTTGAAACGAGTTTCGGAGTTTGGATTAGTTTATTATTTTATATTCCTTATTCTTATTCATTGATTTAATTGTAGTGATAATGATTTAATCAATGTTAATTTACACTATGATCAATAAGTTTCGTATTATAAATTAGGCTGTACATCTATTATCTCTACTATGATCAATAAATTTAAAATTCCATTTAAAAATATCTACACTATGAATGCGTAATAGAGAAGAAAACTAACAATATAATTAGCTGGATGATTTTTAAGGATTTTTTTCTTCACTGTTTAATCACATATTTAATTAACCACTAACATCTTCTTCACTTTTGTTGAACATAGTTGAGATCATTTAAATCATGCTAAATATAGTTGGCCTCGGCTAAATCGATGTGTAAAATGCAAATTTCAAAGTTGGTGTATTTAATTGAAAACATAAATTAATTAGTGTATTAAATGGGAAGCTAAAATAGTTCGTGTAATTTATTAACAAATGAAAATTAGTTCGTGTATTTTTAAGGAATTTTATTTTTATAATTTAAACACGTGTTTAATTAAACACTAATGACGTCGACAAATACGTTAAATATAGTTAACGTCATTAAAAACGATGTGTAAAATCTTCAATTTTAAAAGTTTGTGTATTTAATAGGTAACGAAAAGTAGTTTGTGTATTAAACGGGGATCCACAATAGTTCGTATATCTTATTAGCAAATGTAAATCAGTTCGTGTATTTTTAAGGAATTTTCCCAAAATGGAATGTGTGTTAAAACTTTTTGTTCATGTCTATGATTTTTTTTTGACCAACGTTCATTTCTATGACTTTATGACGAACATAATAAAGATGAGGTAGACTGTGTTAGTAGATACTGAGAAGCTAGAGCCTGAATTGTACACTTGAATCAGATTAGATTCCTAATCAGACTAAACCATCAAAAACAAGATTACAAGAAACTAGATAAAAAAAAAAGCTGAGGTTTTTCATGCATGCTCAAAGTTAGAAACAAACAAAACCTTTCATATGAATTCTACCAATTAGAAGCGAGTCGCATGATTTCCTCAGAGGTCACAAGACAAACTTTCAACTTTTCCGCAACTATTAGACAATCAAGACTATACATGGGAAAGAAACAAAACAAGCAGAAGCCTTTTACGATGATTCTCTCTATAAGAAGTAAAGCGAAATAAAAAGAAGAAGCTTTACCAATGAAGCTGGAACAATAATAAAGCTACTACAAGCCAAACCCATCTTCAGTCATAACCCATAAAAACATTCTATCATTACCCAAACACAAAAAAAAAAACGAGTTCAGCAGCTTCACAAGACTCAAACTGAGTTTCTTTCCTGACCTGACCAATCACAACCACCTCAAAGGGTAAGAGAGGAAAGCAAAAACTAAGACGCCGGAGAAGAAGACCACGAAGTTACAGGACGAGGCGGTGGCAACATTTGACGGAGATTCGGACCACCACTCGATTTGAGAATAAAAGGATGCCGCAAAAGCTGCTGAGCAGACCATCTCTTAAGAGGATCACTCTGCAAGCAACAAGAGATGAAGTGTCTGAAATCCTGAGACGCCGTCACCGGAGCTTCCGGCGGCTGAGACATACAAATGGCGAACACTAGACTCACCCAGTCACTATCTCTACTCACAGCAAAAGGTAACCTCCCCAAATAAAACTCCAAGATGCTAACACCAAGACTCCATACATCGCCCGCGTAACCGTCGTAACGTCCGTGATTCAAATCGGGGTTGATCCTCTCAGGACTCACGTAAGCAATAGTTCCAAATGACTTACAAGGATCCGAGGTCTGCGCCAAGATCCTACTCACTCCAAAATCAGCAATCTTAACGTTCTTGGCTGAGTTGATCAAAAGATTCGACGGTTTGATGTCTGCGTGGACGATGTGACGGCCGTGGAGATAAGCCAACCCGCTGAGAATCTGGCGCGTGAGATGGGAAAGTTCATGTTCTTGAGGCACGTGCCTGCCTTCTAGAGAGCCTTTGTCCATGAACTCAAGCAAGAACTGGACCTCGCCGTTGTGATCAAACATGTCGTGATATTTCACGACGTTTGGGTGGTCAACACTTCGCAAGATTTCGACCTCTCTACAGAGCTGGCGCCTCACGTTGTCGTCGTGGTTTCTGTAGATCACCTTGAGAGCGAAGAGGCGTGAAGTGGGACGGTGGATCACTTTGTAGACCGTTCCTCCGGCGCCGCTTCCGATTCGGTTCATGCGCTCTATCTCGGATAAGCTTTTAGCGGCGGAGATGTTGGTGGAGGAGGACGATATGTCCTTGATAGAATTCATCGGATTGTAACAAGTAATGAAAGAAGAATTTGAGAGAGAGTTAGATAGAAGTTTAGGGATATTTCAACCTTTTGATTTTTATGATTATGTTTGATAATTACATCAGAGATGTGAGACTATATAGAAGAAATAAAAGGCCAACAGCCCCAAAGTTACATTTTCTATGAAAAATGATTAATAACTCCTTGGTCAAAATCTAGGAATAAATGCTGGATGAAGCATGAAGGAGTCAAAAAAATCTCCTATATACTTCTTGTTTTTCTGTATAAAAATGAATTTTAAAACTACGAAAATAAGAAAAAAAAAGAAAACCTAAGACTTCAACTTATTTACAAACTCAACCATAGAAACCCACCAACCCAACCCGATCCAACATTCTAACCTTAAATTCTCATTTCAATTTTGAAATTTCCATAACTAACCACGATCTCATCCATCTCTCTTACATTTTGAATCTTTCTGATTAATAATCAAACTCGGATTTATTCATCAATCAGCCTAAATCTATCCCCATCTCCATTTTCATGTTCCCCATTCAAGAATTTCGCCAAACACTCAACAAGCCGGAAAAAGAAAAAGGAAGGAGCGCTGGAGAAGAACGACTCATCAGAAATACTCAATAGTTTTTTTTTTCTTTTGACTAAACAGAAATACTCATAGTTAGCAAACAAACAAAACCTTTCATAAGAATTCTACCCATTAGAAGAAAGTCACATGATTTCCTTTCAACTTTACCGCAACATTAGACAATCAAGACCATACATGGCAAAGAAACAAAGCACGCATAATCCTTTACCACGAATCTCTCTATAAGAAGCAAAGCGAAATAATAAAGATACTACAAGACAACATAACTCATATAAGCAATTCTATATCATTACCCAAACACAAAACAAGACGAGTTCATCTTCACAAGACTCAAACTGACTTTCTCTCCAAACCAATCATACCCTAATCACAACCACCTCCTTCTACATAGAAAACTAGGACGCCGGAGAAAAAGAAGACGACTGTAAAGGACGAGGCGGTGGCAACATTTGTCGGAGATTCGGACCACCACTTGATTTGAGAATAAAAGGATGCTGCAAAAGCTGCTGAGCAGACCATCTCTTAGGAGGATCACTCTGCAAGCAACAAGAGATGAAGTGACGAAACTCCTGAGACGCCGTCACGGGAGCTTCCGGCGGCTGAGACATACAAATAGCTACCATTAAACTCGCCCAATCACCTTGTCTACTCACAGCGAAAGGGAACCTCCCCAAGTAAAACTCCAAGATGCTAACACCAAGACTCCAGACATCTCCCGCGTAACCGTCGTAACGACCGTGATTCAGATCGGTGTTAATCCTCTCAGGACTCATGTAAGCAATGGTTCCGACAGATGAGTTACAAGGATCCATGGTCTGCGCCAAGATCCGACTCACTCCGAAATCAGCAATCTTGACGTTCTTGGCTGAGTTGATCAAAAGATTCGACGGTTTGATGTCGCGGTGGACGATGTGACGGCGGTGGAGATAAGCTAACCCGCTGAGAATCTGGCGCGAGAGATGGGAGAGTTCATGTTCTTGAGGCACGTGCCTGCCTTCGAGAGACCCTCCGTCCATGAACTCAAGCAAGACCTGGACCTCGCCGTTGTGATCAAACATGTCGTGACATTTCACCACGTTGGGGTGGTCAACACTTCGCAGGATCTCGATCTCTCTACAGATCTGACGCCTCACGTTGTCGTCGTGGTTCCCGTAGATCACCTTGAGAGCGAAGAGGCGTGAAGTTTGACGGTGGATCACTTTGTAGACTGTTCCTCCGGCGCCGCTTCCGATTCGGTTCACGCGCTCTAGCTCGGATAGGCTTTTGGCGGCGGAGATGTTGGTGGAGGTCGCGGAGGAGGAGGAGGCGGGAGCAGAGGAGGAAGGAGGAGGGAGAGGGAGAGGGACAGCGAGAGCCACGTCGCGTTGAGGGAGTGGTAAGCTGAGGTCAGGACGTTTGCGGAGGCGGTTCTTCATCGGTGAAGATGATACTACTCCAGGAAGAGACTGAATCGGTCTCATGGCTCTTTGATTCTTGTCTTCGTCTTCGTGTGTAATCACCGACAAGTGTTTGATTCGTTCCTGGAATCGATCAGATTAATAGTGTCATCAGAAAGAAAATAAAAGGATAAATCGAGAGACAATATAGAGAAAAAGATTTCCACGCGCTTAGGAACGCGCGTGTAAAAATATGCAAGCTGTGGAAGTATCTGTTTAGTTCTGTCTAGTCAGACGTTAACATGTTTTTGTTGGTCGGTCCGTTATATTAATGGGTTTTGTTTCGGCTTGGGGATATGAGTCCAAAAAAGATGGGAGCAAAACATATATGGACTATATAAGAACATAGCTTATGATGAAAATATTGGAGTCACTCGAGCATAATTATGATGGGAAAAGGGATAATTGGAAGGAATACTATACGGCTCAAGTTAATTTACCTCTTGTAGGGATGAAAGAGCAGCAACTGAAAAATCTGGACTAGCGGAGGAACAGTGTAGTGATGAGATGTAAAAGAAGATATGAAACTTGATGAACTTATATAGTTCGTGAGACAAAGCAAATGGACTTTTCATAGGTAGAAAAATGTGAACTACTTGCTATGGTAGCACAGGAACCGTACGTGCTTCATTTGTTTCTTAAGGGAAACTAGGATACCACCTGCGAAGTTTTTTTTTTTTTTTACAAATTTTAGAAAATAAATTATTTTAAATTAAAATGGGTTATGTCTTTTACAAAATCGAGAAAATTGGTTATTTTAGTTTATAAAAATGGTTACCACCTTTGTTTGTAAATTTTTCGATTTTAAATTTTATATATGCTAATTCACAGTTTTCTTATCTATAATTAGGTCCAAAGATTTTTATCAACAGTTATATATACTAATAATATGAAATAAATATTTTAACTTACATTTTTGAACTTAATTTTAGATGTATAGGTATATTACTCTTTCTGATATCTTTCTTACAGAAACAAAATATATATGATAAATAAATACATATTTAAATTAAATGTATATTTTTAAATATCATTTCTTTGTACAGAGATATTATTTTTATTGAAATGAAGAAATTTGAATATATCTATGTGTATATCATTACATATATATTTGATACGGTTTAAGAAAGCTGATTTCTTTGTTATAAAAATTGATAGTTATATAAGATCTTTATATAAATATAAAGTAAAATTTAAATATACTTTTAAAATCTGTATGATTTGATATATAAATATTATTATCTTATTAGAATTGAGAAAAAATAGTATAGTTTTATAACAGACTAAACAATCAAATATTAGTTTAAAACTTAAAAAATTGTTTGCCTATTATTCATATATGTTTCTGAACTTATAGTATTAGTAAAGTTAATTTTAATTGAAACGTCATAACTTTGTTTGATAGTCCAAAAACTTATCAATAAAAAATATATTTTGTTATAATAGATTACACTAATGTATTTTGAGCAAAATTGCCCTTGTACAATGTGAAAACAGCGAACAAATTTTGTTAGGATTGTATTATTTCATATTTGATATCTTTTAAAAAGGGAAACAAAATCTTGTTAAGTTATATTATGTTTTTTAAATAAAAATATACAAAAATAAATAAAAATAATAATATTACAAAAAACAAAAAAAAAATTTTAAAAAAATTTTTAACATTGTATTATGTTTTAAAAATAAAAAGATAAAAATAAATAAAAAAGTAATAATTGCAAAGAAAACAATTTTTTTGTAAATATAATTTTCCGTTTTGTAAATAAAATAATAATATTATTTTGTAAATATTAGAATTTTTTTCGTTTTTGTAATGCTAAAACAAATTTTTATTTATTTATTTACAAAACAGTAATATTTAAGATTTATCCAAAGGGTTTATGGTTTATCCAAGGGTTTAGAGTTTAGAATTTAGTGTTTTCGTTTTCTAATATTTTTATTTTTTCATTTTTGTTAATATTATTATTTTATTTCTTTTTCTATTTTTATTTTAAAAACATAATATAATTTAATAAGATTTTGTTTTTTTTTCTAAAAAGATATCAAATATGAAATAACACTTTACTATTGATTGGTGAACCTAGAAATTCATCATGGGGGATGAACCCAAGAATAACTCTTTATATTATGTTAAAAATAGCTCTCCCTATAGCATATTATTTTCTTTCAATATCTTCACCATAATTGTTTTAAAAAAGTAATCATATGCAAAAACATATATTTTTTACATGTATGTCATAATTTGTTTTTCCAAAACGAATATATATATATTTAAAAGATATAATACGTTTTAAATGAAAATCTGTTATTATGTTCGAGCATTTATATAGAGTAGAACACAAAATATAAATAATGTTTTCAAATCATATAAGTTGATCCAAATTGCTTAAGTAAACTATAAAATCATACAATTCTAGCCGTGGGGATAATTCTCCATGCAATATCTTTTTTACTACCATAGTCAGAAAAAAAAAATCTTTATTACTATCAGTCTAGCAATCTGGGGGAGAATATAAATGAAGAACTGAGGAGTCAAAGTATTTGTTTGGTTTGATATTATTCCTTCAGTCCATTGATTTTCCTTTGAGATCTTGACTGTCTTGTCAAAGAATATTTAGGTCAACTCAGTCCCTGGTCCCAACAATACTAAAATCCCCCAAACATAAACATTAAAAATGTTGTAAAAAAAGAAGATGGCTTTAAGAGCACCCTCATTGAGAGTTCAAATGGGGGTTCACACGGAAACCAAAAAATAAAATAATAAAATAACAAAATCCTATGAACCCCTCTCTCCTAAAGTTCTCTCGGGTGAACCCCTCTCTCCTGAGGTTCAATACGTGGCGGCTCGGGATTGGTCTAGATTTTTTTTTTCATTTTTTTAAAAAAAAGAAAATCAAAAAGAAAATAGAAAAATTTTAATAATAAAAAATTGTTTCAATGAACCCCAAGAGGGGGTTCATTGATGTGGATGCTCTAAGTAGTTCTAACATAAGTTCATAACCATCATAAAAGCATTCTGTAATTACCCAAAGACAAAACAAGACGAGTTCATCTTCACAAGACTCAAACTGACCTTTTTTTCCAGACCAATCATATCATAATTACAGCAACCTCCTTCTACTTAATAAACTTCAGAAAATATTTAAAGGTTGAGAGGGAAAAGCAAACAACTAGGACGCCGGAGAAGAAGACGAAGGTTAAGGACTATGCATCTCAAACATTTGACGGAGAGTTAGACCACCGGGTGATTGGAGTATGAATGGATGATCCAAAAGCTGTTGCGCAGACCGTCTCTTAGGAGGATCGCTCTGTAAGCAGCAAGAGATGAAGTGACGAAACTCCTGAGACGCCGTCTCCGGAGCTTCCGGCGGCTGAGACGTACAAATGGCGGACATTAAACTTGCCAAGTCACCTTTTCTAACCCCAGCAAAAGGTAACCTCCCTAAGTAAAACTCCAAGATGCTAACACCAAGGCTCCATATATCTCCCGCGTAACCGTCGTAACGTCCGTGATTCAGATCGGGGTTGATCCTCTCAGGACTCATGTAAGCGATGGTTCCGACAGAGGATTTGCAAGGATCCATGGTCTGTGCCAAGATCCTACTCGCTCCAAAATCAGCAATCTTGACGTTCTTGGCTGAGTTGATCAAAAGATTCCCCGGTTTGATGTCGCGGTGGACGATGTGACGGCTGTGGAGATAAGCCAAGCCGCTGAGAATCTGCCGCGAGAGATCAGCGAGTTCATGTTCTTGTGACACGTGTGCACCTTGGAGAGAACCTTTGTCCATGAACTCAAGCAAGATATGTGCCTTACCGTTGTGATCAAATATGTCGTGACATTTCACGACGTTGGGGTGGTCAACACTTCGCAAGATTTCGAACTCTCTACAGATTTGGAGCCTCACGTTGTCATTGTGGTTTCCGTTGATCACCTTGAGAGCGAAGAGGCGTGAAGTGGGACGGTGTATCACTTTGTAAACCGTTCCTCCTGCCCCGTTCCCCATTTTTCTCACGCGCTGTAGCTCGGATAAGCTTATAGCGGGGGAGATGTTGGTGGAGGTCGCGGAAGAGGAGGCCAACGGAGCAGAGGAGGAGGAAGGAGGAGGAGGAGGGAGAGGATGAGGGACAGGGACAGGGACAATCACATTGGGGTTAGGGAATGGTGGTAAATTGGGGTTAGGAGGGTTGAATCGTCGTCTCATGGTTCTATAACCGTAACTCTTGTAGGGATGAAGCAACAAGATGTAACTTCTTGTGGAAAGAGCAGCAACTGAAAAATCTGGACTTGTGGAGGAAGAGTGTAATGATATGAAACTTGATGCATCATCATGCACTTATATAGTTTGTGAGAACAAGCAAATGGACATTTTCTTAGGTACAAAAACGTGTTCAACTACTGGTCTTGTCTTAACAACAGATTGCTGAACTACTGGCAAATGGTAGCACAAGAACCGTAGTTGTGTTCAATTTTTTTTTAAAAAAACTTTTAATCTAAAACCTTTTTGGGCATTTTTAAAAGCAGAATATAAAAATAAAAACAGGAAAAAAATTACAAAATCCCAAATCTATCTTATTAATTTAGAAACATTAGGTTGGACTTAATATTTATTTTGTAAATTAAATACATATTTCTACTTTATAGTTAAACCTACATTAAATCACTAATATTTATTTCTTTATACTATTATACATGTTTCAAAAAAAATATTTATTTCTTTATACCACTCTTCATATTTCCAAACAATATACTCATTTTTTATACTACTATCCATGTTTCCAAACAACACTATAACTAATTTTATGTCCAAACAATACAAAATCTTAGATCTTACTCTTTTTAATAACTTCTCTCAATTTTCTTTTAAATTATGTAGATAAATAAAAAAAATTTAATAATATATAAAACAACGAAAATAAACTTATTTTTACCGGGTTAAATATTACATATCAGTTATCCATCGCTTCAATCGGTTGGTCATGGGATTCTGTGTTTTTTTAAATATGGATTTTAAAAAATCAAAAATTGAATTATCGGATCACCAGTTTAACTGCGGTTCAGGTTGAATTTAAAATTACTGATTGAAATGTAAAAATATTTTCAATACAAAAATTCTTTCTTATTACCAAAATATTTGTTAAGTTGTTTATTAAATTTTGCATCATAAAATATTATGCACTTGCAAATATAAAACCAAAATTAAGTTTGAATTTGATATAATCTATAAAATAAAGGTTAAGGCGAAAAATTCTCGAAACTTGTATATCATTTTAAAAAGTTTGGATAACTATTAACATCAGAAGTAACTAAACTCTCAAATTATTTTCAAAGAATTTGATTTTTCACTTTGAATAAACGTACAAAATTAGTGTTTTCACTGCACGATTACATCTACATAATACACGGCTTAATACAAAAGACAGTTTTGATATTGTTCTTTAAACATAAAATCGAACTGAACAAACTCGAAACTATATAAAACTAAATTATAGAGCATAAATCCGAAAAATAAAATCTACGCGGGTGTGCGGATCATGATCTAGAAAATGATAAAAGCCAGAAGTTGATTCTACTTAATATCTACAAGCTACTGGCTACAAGTTCATATTACTGGCCATAATACCTTAATCTATGTGGTACTGGAAGTTCACTCCACCTATTAAAGGTTTTTTTTTAATATATATTTATTTATTCAACCCGAATAATCGGGAAGTCATATCCGGTTACAAACCCACTTTGAACAAAATCTCCAAAGTCCTACTATTACAAGGTTACTCTCTGGTATTTGTGTTTCTGTATAGTAATTTAAATACATTTCTTTAGTGCTCTGAATTTGCTATGCCTGTAGCTTCGATATTTATGATGATTTTGAACCCAAATTGAGATTTTTTCTAGCCAAGGCTTGGTGATCTTATACCTCATGCTGTATTTCTTTTTTTAAATCTTTTTAGATTTCTTTATCTTCCAACAACTGCATGAATAGGATGCAGTCGGCATTGCACCCATTCTCAAGTGTTTGTTTTCTTATGTAATAATCTATAGGAGTTCAGTTTGCCATTTGTTTGTCTTGTTGCTGCTTTAACGCATTACTTTGTGGGGATTCATTTTCAGCGTTTTGACTAACCCATCCCGATGAAACTCCATTTGCCATGTTAGCTAGGAATAAACATAACATTGTGATGACATCCAGAGGCCTTAGAAAATCACGTTTCTGTGGAATGCGACCTTCATATGATCAATCACATTGGTGTCATTCTTGAGCATTTCCCATATTGATCATTCTTCTGTTCTTAGGCTGATGAACAAGCACATCAAGTTAATACTGACAGCTAGTGGCGTAGCTAGCATAATACCATAGGGGTTATATGACCCATATGAATGGCCTTTGTTTACTTATCAGCTTTAATCGACTCTTTAAGCAGCTTTCTACTTTACGTTTCTTAAAATTTTGAACACATGGTTCATTTGCTGTAGAGAAAGACCATAGTTAAAAATACTCAATGGACAACATATAAGAAATGAACAAATCCACAAAAATCATTTGTCTTAAGGAAGAAACAGAAGAACTCCATGTTTTTCATTATTAATTGCCTGAAAATCAAGTTTTCATTGTAGACAACAAAAGGAAACAAAATATCAAAAGGCAGAGAGAGAGGCGTTACAGCATCCCTTTGATCCATCCAGGCTTTCATCAAAAGCTTCAAACTTGAGGTGCGCCTGAGCGCAAAACTGTCAACAAAAAGACCACACAAAGTTACATATACACTTAAAAAAAGTCTTCCTCAATTTAAACTGGAATCCTAATCGTGCTGGTTCTAATTAAAGTACGAATCTTTAGCATCTTGAAACAGAGAGAATCACAGAAAGAAGAAGAAGCTAGATCTGGATCAATGATCCTGAGGAAAGGGAGTTTGGGAAGAAGGAAACCTGGTTTCTGGGCCTTTCCATCAGCCCATTTGGAGAGGGAGAAGTGAACCTTCTCGCGGCTCATGGATTCAGCCTTGAAGGGCTCTTTCAGACAGTTCCTCACCAGATTCGCGCAGATGTTCGAGTACGTTATATACGTCATGCCCGCCGCTCTCCAGAACGGAACCGCCGCTGTCGATGCCATACTCCGATTCTTTTGACGGATCTAGACGAAGAGATTGAGAAAGAAGAGCTATCTCTCAGATTCGCTTGCAGATTGAGAAAGAAAACCGCAATTGATTCTCAGATTAAGTCAACTCCTATAACTCACTTTCTGCCCATTGGGCTTTCTAAATCAGCCCAACTAGTTAAAGCCTCATATAAACAGCTAGTTTCTATGGTATTCGATGTTTCACATGACTCGAGACAAATTGTTGTTTGATCATCAACAAGACTTTGTTTTGTTGATCAAGCAATATATCATATTTATTTTACAGAAATTGTTTGCTGATTATGTACAGTGATTGTGGTCTTTTCTCTGCCTACAATACTAGGAAACTTGATAAAAAATGCAAAGAGAAATTCATTGATAGTAGAACTAGGTGAATTTACAAAATAAATAGATTATAATAAGTTACAATTTTTTTTTAAACCTTATTTTTAATTTATATTAAATAATATTATATTATTTTAATTAGATGTATGAATCTGGATAAATAATATATCATTTGGTTATTATTTGGATATATTGGATAACATTTTGATTTTCCGACTCGACGAGAATATTTTTATAGATTAAAATTTTGATTAATTTTGTTATTTAAATGATTTGATTATTGTATCTTGTAAATATATTTTAATAAGATTATATATAATTAATATATGTGTTTTTAGAATCAAATAGTAAAAATAAACTAATGTGTTGATTGATTCAAAGTTACATAGATGAATATAACAATGATAATCATTTTAATTAGTTAGTATCTCTATACTATTATTTTAGAATTTGATATTTATTTATTAATATATTGAACCGCTTTATAATTTATATGTATAAAAGATATTATTATAAATAATAAAATATTATTCCCTCTGTTTTATTTTAGTTGTCATTTTAAGTTTATGCACACATATTAAGAAATAATTTAATTTTACATATTTTCAAAATTAAAAAATACAATTACCTATACACCTAACCATATTTTAACCAACATAAAAATAGAAAAGTAGATAAAACTATAAAACGACACAGTCGTTGAGGAACCAATAATTCGACGACGGTGACAATGATGGAGATCTAGGGTTTTCTCCTATGATTTGCAAGGAAGATACGGGGGGAAATCAAGGATCATGGGAATCAAATGGTTTAGGCTTTGTGGGATCTCAAGTGGATTTCACTACCGATGGAATCGGGGAATATCAGGAAACTAGACAGCTCTTCCCTCATGGATTTATGTCGGATCAGATTTATGCTCGGAGTTTGGGGATATCAATCCGTGTGGGGAAAGATGAGGATACGGTGAATCAGGGGCTTTCAATGGTATACAAAGGTGATGTTTTTCGACTAAGGAAAATCAAAGGTACGAGATACACGATCTTAACTCTTTTGGGATTGGGAGTATCTGAGAGTAAGGAAACTTTGATCTCGCGAATTTCCTCTGATACACGACATATATTGGTTCAATGGAAAGAAGGAAAGTGGTTACAATTACTTCTTGCACATAAATGGATCTCAAAGATTTCATCATATCTTCTGCGCCATTACTCCTGGTGTATGATCTTAATAGTATTGGGGCCGGGATTTGATTTATTTTCCCTTATGGGAAGGAGTGGTGTATAATAAGGCGGGGGGGGGAGGGGGATAAGACTTGTCTCTCATCATTTACAAATCATCATTTCCATCTCTTTTCTCTCGTCAGAAAACATTGTGTTCTCACTCTGTTTTTCTCAAATGTCTCAGGCGAAGCTTGTTGGTAACTCGGGGAGTAACTCTGGTGAGGAGAATGTCATAAAAAACTGAAGATTTTGGTTCCTCGTTTCGACAATTCTGATCTCATCAAAGGCTACTCAAGAACTCTCATCGGCCGGTGTATGAATCCAAGCAAGCAAGACGTCAACCTGCTGATCACAATACTTCCAAAGATCTGGAAGGTGGAGGATAGAGTTGTTGGAGCAGATTGGTACTTGGCCGTTTTCAATTTGATTTTGAAAAGGAGGAGGATATCGAAGAAGTTCTAAAGATGCAACCGTTTCACTTTGACTATTGGATGATTTCCTTAGTGCGATGGAAACCGAGGGTGGAAAAAAACTATCCATATGAGATCACGTTTTGGGTCAGAGTGTTGGGTGTACCTCTGCAACTATGGGCCATTCAAACTTTTGAGAATATAGGAAATTCTCTTGGGAGGGTACTAGAGGTGGACATTGATTACGGCAGAGTTCAGGTGGTAGTTGATGGATACAAGAACTTGGTGTTTGAGACTGAAGTCGACTTTTTTGGTGGTGAGCACTATGAGGGAGATGAGCTACCGATTTCTCTCAGGTATGAGAAACTATTTGGATACTGCAGGACCTGATTTAGCATGTGCCATGACATTCATAAGTGCCCATTAAGCACATAGTTCTTAGAGAGGAGATCGGAGAGCCATGCTGAGGCTGATGAGAAGCATGGAGATCGTTTTGCAAGCTATAAAGGTGTGGTTATCAATGGCACTGATGGTGAGAAGAAACAAGGAACAACTAGGACTGATTATCCAGGAAATGGGAAGGGCAAGATGTATGAAGAAGATGAGTCCAACTGGGTCCAGGTTGCGGAAAAGAAAGGGGTGAGAGACAATAGAAGCAAATATCGCTACAAAGGGGAGGAAATGGTTTCTGGTTACATGACTACTCAACAACGAGATACAGCTAGAAATGGAGCTCATGAAGATAGCTTTTCTACTTCCGTACCAAGGGGTGTGAGGAGAGAGAGAGAGAGAGAGGGAAAAGAGCCCTAGAGCGGACTTCCATTACCGTGAAAGAAACACTTCCAAACGCTATGAGCGATCACTGGGGACTGAGCAACCAAGGGTCCAGGAATATTGGGAGAAGGAGGTTCTCCTAGAAGCTCCCACTGCTAGTGTGAGGCAGAAGGTGGAGGAAAAAGTGGACCGATTACCTGCTGAAGATAATCTTGATCTAGCAAATGAAGTGCTTGAAGCTATGAACATCACGGAGAAAGAAGAGGGGATGGAGGTGAAGGGAATGGAAACTCATGAAGTTCGGGTGGAGACGCCTACAGCAGATGACGGATTCCAGGATCTTACGGATACAGAAGGCGAGGTGACAATTGCCCTCCCTGAGGTCTCTGCTGAACGTGGAGACATAGGTACGAATGATGAGGTAAAGGATGAGGGAGAGTTTGTGAAAGACACGGTTGGGGGGAGGAAGGGAAGAAATAGGGCCTCAAGAAGAAACCTTTCAAAGCTGGAACTGTTGGTGCAGGTGGTACCTCAAAGATGAGGATGGTCCAGGCCATCATATCTCACAGCAAGCGTACTTCCACAAAGGCATCTACACGTCATGACGATGGCAGCAAGAAGGTGAATGAGAAGGGTTCCTTAAACCCTAAGGAAAGTACTCCCAAGGACTAGATTTACATGATAGAGTACGATACATGAGTTGGTTTGTGTTTTTCTTATGGTTGTTTTTTCTTTATTTTTCAAATAAGCTGTTTCAGCATCTGATGGCTTTTGTGGTTCTCTTTATTTAGTTTTCCTATCATATTGGATGTGTCGTGCCTTTGGTAAGAGTTTGTGATTTCAAATAATATTGAAGCTTTTGGTTTTTATTGGTATGCTTGTGGCCATGATTATCTAGAGTATGGACAACAGTGTTTGGTTATGTTTTTCTGGAGAGAATCATGTGTTCTGAATCATTTCTCTTCTAAAGAAAATTTATGCGGCTGGATTCTGAGTTGTTTATTTGTCTCAATAAGCCATTTACACATGTTAATATGGCTGCTACTAGTGATTTTATTAGCTGCTAGTTTATTACGGTTTTGCTTTTTGATAAGTTTATGTCCTCAGACTATGGAACAATGGTTTATGGTAGAGTTATGGCAGTGGTGGGTCTCACCAAACCAACCACCAGCTTCTCTTATCAAGGTTATACAATTACGAATCAAGATTATGGTTTGTAAATGGAAGGGGAGGATAATTTTCAGAGATACAAGGTTGGAGAAAGCCTCTCGAGATATTACTTTCATTGGGTGGAGAACATCATTCTCTCTAAGGTTTTCTGTTGGTCCTTTAGGTATACTTTGTTAAGGAGATTGTTTAAGCAGGGATTTGGGTTCCATCATAACTTTTTCTTATGGGCTCTCGTGAGCATCTTTTCAATTTTAGTATGAAATTATTAAACTGGAATTGTCGAGGAATGGGAAGCAAATGGACAATTAGCTATCTAAGGGAAATATGGCATAAACATAGACCAGATTTTCTGTTTTTATCGGAAACAAAACAAGATTTTGACTTTGTACAAGGGTTTCAAGCATATTTTGGATATGATAATTTGGTTACGGGGATCCAGTATGCAGGAGTGGGGGTCTCGTTCTTTTTTACAATAATTAGTATCAGGTAAATATTTTATATTTTAGCAATCAGATGATTGATGTGGCAGCGGCAATTGAGAAAAAGATTTATATGACTTTTGTGTATGGAGATCCAGTACAAGATTTACGGGAACAAGTCTGTAAACGATTAACTCGGTATGGTTAAGCAAGATCAGAAACCTTGGTTTATTATTGGCGATTTAAATGAGATTACAAGAAATTATGAAAAGGAAGGGGGTACGTTAAGGAGTTTGACTTCGTTAAAAAAAATCGAAAACTAACTAGATAAAAAGTATAATGAAAAGTTTAGTTAAAGAGAATATTGACTTAGTTAAAAGACATCTTAGTAAATTGGGAAAGAGAATGTGTGTTGAATCTATGATGTGTCTGTTAGTGTAATTAAAAACTGAAAATGTGTTCTCTAGAGTAAATATTTCATGAAAAAAAGAGAATCCTCCATGTAGACACAACTCTTTTTGAAAAGCCAAAGACTGAGCCACACTCCCACTTGTACAACCTCAAATCCAATTCAATTCACAGTTGCACTTTTACATCATACATGAAGAAGAAATATGGAAAGGGATAAAAGAATTGGACCTTGCAGTATACATTTG